TAACAACATGATAACAGCGAAATGTTAGTCACAGCTTTTCTATTTGGACGGAGTTCGTGAATTCAGAACGTATATTTTCTCGTCGAAAATTGTTACCACCGGCTTCCCGAATTAAGTTCGACGCAAATACGCCGTCTGAACCAGCCGTCGCTCCAAAGTCGCTCTAAAGTCGAACTTAATCAAGTTTGGTTCGGCACATGAGTGGAGCGGCGTTTGGACCGGGCCTAATGTGGACGTTGCTTGAACTTCATTAGACCCCTAAAAGATACCACTTAAAACGGAATAGGTTTGATAACTAGCCACTGTTTAAGAAAGGATCCCGTGCGCACTTGTGGAGCCGACTCGCGTACTCGAGAGATCAGCGGAAATCAAGCCTAAAAACAGAAATTAAATGAGAGCGTTTCTTTCGTTATTTCTTCGAGTGCACCCAAAGGATACTTTGACAGCTAACAATGGTGACTTTTCGTCATCATCAAGCTAAGTGAAACCAGAATCCTTGTTGATTTGTACCTGAGGCGACGAGCATCATATAGGAGTTCCCCCCGGTTTCGAGCATCTGTCCTCTAAGGCCGTTTTACAGTCCCTTGCACCGTGTTAAGTTAGTTATTTTCGAGAGGTAGGAGATGAAACGATTTTTCCATTGTCAGGAAAATACTTATGGTTCTTCCTTAGCGATTCGATTTAGAGAAAGTCTCCGCGGTTTTTCCTTGGCAAACCTACGTGACATTGTGAGTTCGACAACAATCGATATAGCCGGATGAACGATTAAAAGTTCCAGACGAGTTTTTAAACACAAGAAAGGGAAAGACAAACGCTACCTTTCGGTAAATGATTTCTTGACAGAAAAAGAAAAGAAGAAGAAAAGGAAAAACAATATTAAGTCACCGCTGTGACTCGAACTCCCGTAGTCGCGCTTGCTAAGCCAGAATTTAACACAGTATGCTACTTGTTCGTGAAATATCACACAGTGAGAATATTAGTTATATTTCTACGTACTGAAACGCTGGGTAGTTAACACAGCAGGCTCAAGTGAGTTCCGAGTGTTTTGCAATTCGTGGACAGTTTGAAATTGTGGATGGCTGGTTCAGACGTTGTGGAGCTTGTACAAGTGGATGTAACACGATTTACTCACAAACTGAATTGTTTTATTGGCAATTTTCTCATTCGTGGATCTCTAAAGAAGTGGTGTCATTTAACGGACTCAATGGAGTTGCGCGTGACTTACCAGAGTTATATAACTTACCGCTCGATGTACCAATTTTGAGCGACTGCGTTTGGACTCAAACTACGAATGGACTCGCATTATTTTGTGGAAAAAGAGTTCACTTCAGTCCTTACATTAGAGCTACCAGAGAATGTAAGTACTTGAACTCAACACCAAAAAGGACACAAATTTCAATGTACAATGACTGAAATGGATTATCCTGTCTCATATATCACTTGGCAAAAATCCATGCTATTTGATTTATGAGCTGTGCATCCTAATATTGTGTTCCAACTTCAGCCTGTCAAATTTTCATTCTTTTAAGAATGAAAAAGTTTGGTGTTATCATACTGAACTTTGCAGTATATACCCTGCTGCCGTAACAGCATCATTGTATTGATAACGTAGCAAAAACTGCATAATCTGCATAGTTATCAAAAAGGCTGTTACCTAAATCAGTAAACATTTCAGTGTGCATGCATGCAAAAAACTACGCTCCCAATAAAAGCACTGTTTATCTTGATCCCAATCTCCACTTTTTGGTCAACTTTCTACTTCAATCTATTTCAAAAAAATATTAATAAATAATTATTTAAAACAAACTATTTTCTCAAATTTTACCAAAGAACGAAATCCACGCTTGCATCTAACAATCTTAAGCCAACTGAGAGCTGGCTACAAGCAAGCATTGGACATTACTCCTAGTCTATACATCACTTTTGACCAAACAAAATGATCGTGCTGTTTTTGACTACAACACTAAGAGGACCTGTACAGATGCATGTAATGTAAACAGCGTAGGCAGTCGTGAGTAACAAATAGTTTCTTAGCATTGAACTGTTATATTTTGTAAATATCGCAACACAGTCTTGAATGGAAAAAGGCTTTATGGGCTTGTTCGAAAGTTAGACTGCCCTCATATCACTAGTGGTTCCTTAATGAGCAATGCCTCATTACACCCTTTCATAATTTATTTTCCAAGTTCAGTGGCTCACAGCCACTTTGAGTTTTCTTTTGCTGCAATGTCAATTCAATGTGAAATTTTGCAATTAATCAGATTTCACAACACAAGTACGCCTTGTGTGTACAGTGCTCTTGCTTCCAAAACGTTATCAATTTTGTAATTCTTCAGTATGGCCAACCACTTAAATCCGTACGAATTTCAACGCTTTCAGTTTTCATACCATTTGCTGATTTGTTTTCAGTAGCAAAACGGACAGCCACAAGCAGCTTCGTCGTTACCTCCGAGTCTACAGCAGCCTTCAGTTTCACAAAAGAAGCATCCTCGGGAGAGAAAACGTCTAAAAAGAAAAAGTCTAAAAAGAAAAAGTCTGGCCAAAGGGAGCGATGATGCATTAACGATGAGAAAGTCCTTTTCAACTTTGGGCCGATAATTGCTACCCGCATAGGGCAGCCTCCTATTTCTGCGTTGATATCTCGACTCGAGGTTATCTGTTTGTTAGCAGTTCCCAGGCCCCACTACGCAGAAAGTCTGCGAATCTTTGATCGTTCGTACCTTGTACATTCGTCGCGTTCGTTGAGTACCTTGTACATTTGTCATCTCTTGATGCGAAGACAAGCTTTTTACTAAAACGGTACGTTAGTCAGTAGCTTGTCGTGTCAGGTGTAGATTAAGTATTTGGGGAAGTATTCCTGAGGTAGCCAACGTTTTAGTGATGAATCGAGGGGAAGACAATGTTCTTTCATGAGTCTCACCGCGCTGTTGTTCCATGAGTATTGTTCAGTGAGGTATACAGACTTAATTATAATCTGCCCAACGAGGCGAATAAAACAAGTGGATTGCCCAGCGAGGTTAACAAACTGAATTCTAATTTGCCAAAGGAGACGAATAAATCAAGTGAATTGCCCTACGAGGCGAACAAACGGAACGGAATTCTAATTTGCCTAACGAGGCGAATGAAGCAAGCAAATTACCTACCGAGGCAAACAAATGGAATAATAATACTTAAATTTACACCTGACATGACAAGCTACTGAGTAACTTACCGTTTTTGTTAAAACAAAATATCTATCACGTTTTGATAGCAGTTTATAAAGAATAATAATGTATTTATTTGTGGTGTAACTCCTGGCTTGTTACTCTGAAGTGCGAAAAGTCCAAGGTCCTACACCTATCGAAATCCAAGGAGTTGAACACGAGAAGATAAAATTCGTATCCACAAGCGAGCATGTAATATTCTGTTTATCATATAAACACACTAATGACGACGTTTTTGACGATTTTCCGAAGATTTCCGAAGATTTTCCAAAATTGCTCCGAAGGCCAGACGAACGCTTCCGAACATTTTCCGAAGATTGCCGAAGATTGCCGAAGACGACCGAAGAAGATCCGAAGATGTTTCGATCATACATCAACAAATTTAAGTGTAGTTAAAGGGACAAAAGAAAAATGTTATCAAAAAGGAATGATATCTTCACAGTGTGAAAATAAAAATAACATCTTCACTGCGCGCGATGAAGATATGATTTCTTAGTAAACGGAAAATATAGATTGCTTCATGGTTGGTGAGTGCGTACGATTTTTACTCACGAGTTGTGAAGAATCGCAAACGAACGAGCGAGTCTTCGAGCGAGTGAGTTTGCGATTCCTCACAACAAGTGAATAAAAATCGTACAAGCAAACCAACCATGAAGTTATTTGTTTATTTTATAAGTACTGAGATTTCTTTCACACAATAATGACAATTAACAGCGATAAGACGATGAAATGAGTTTTATTTACTCATACGCTCTTTAAAAATTCGACATCTTTTCAAAATTTGTAGACAATGAAATGAGTTTTATTCACTCGAAAGCGTAAAAACGTCAACATTTTCTTTTCAAAATTTCAGCAAAGGGAAAAGAGGAAATTTTAAAGCTAGTGATATATAACAAC